TTTGTCATTACTTTTAAAAAAAAAAAAAAAAAAATCAGGGGTTTCCAAACTGCAGGGGGTTTGTGAGTTCATAAAAAGATAATAATTGACTAAATAATAAAAATGACAAATAATAAATTAAATAAATAATGACAAAATACAAATGAATCAAAATAAAATACACTAACAAAAATGAAATTGTTGAATTATTTACCTGCAAGTCATGTGATAATTAACTGACACCAGAGAATCATGAACATGCAAAAATTATAGAAAATTTTCTTATGGTAAATATTTTAGGTTAAAGAGTTTCTGCTGACCAAAAGTTTGGGAATCTGCAAATAAAATATCTGTCAAGCAACAAAACGAACCAAAAATGGAAACTAAAGGGGGAAAAACATCACAAAAGCATAATTTGATTGTGAATGAGAGTTTGGCACGGGATGAAACAAATTCAACATTTCTTTTTTTCCCACAAAATGCTATCACATGAATTCAGAGCATGTGGAATATAGTGTGCAAGTTGTTTTTGTCCTTTTTGCTCAATATGATATGAACTGTTGTTGTATGAAATTATCTGCATGAGATTAAGATCTATCAGCTTGTGTTCTACTGAAAACAATAACAGAATACTGGTTTGGAATAAAATGAAAGGGAGTAAAAACTGGCTTTTTTTGACTATCCCTTTAGGATTTTTATAAAATGAAGTATTAGTTGTTCAGACCTGTATTTGTGTTTGTGAGGGCTCCGTCTGCGGTCTTTGCTGTTGTGATAGTAGGGACAAGCATAGCCCTGACGACACAGCCGCGGAGGTTTTTTGCAAAGCTCAGTCTTGTAATGGGAGAGCACGAAACTATTGTCTGCATGAGGAGAAATGAGCAAAGAACAGCATGAAGAATGACATATAAATGTATTGTGACATTTAGGTTCATTTTGAAGTCGTGTGGAGAGGCAGGTTTCACCTTGCCAGCGTGGATCTTCACTCAGGATCTTTTCTATGAGTGCAGTGCTGGCCACAACTCCTGACTGCCCTTCTCCAGATGTTCCCTCAACCAATCCAGTAGCAGCTTGGGCTTCTAACACCTGAACTTCTCTTAACAAGAAATTTAAAATACATACGTCAAACCAAGGAAAAAATTACACTACCGTTCAAAAGTTTAGGGTATGATTTTTTTTTTAAATAAATGAATATCTTTATTCAGCAAGGATGCATTAAATTGATCAAAAACAGACATTAATAATGTAAAAAAAAAAAAAATCTGAAAAATGTTGCTTTTTTTCTTTTTACTCATCAGAGAATCCTGAAATAAATATATATCAGTTTTCACAAAAATATAAATCAGCTCAACTGTTTTCAACATTGATAATAATCAGAAATGTTTCTCGAGCAGCAAATCAGCATATTAGAATGATTTCTGAAGGATCATGTGACACTGAAGACTGGAGTAATGATGCTGAAAAATCAGCTTTGGAATCACAGAAATAAATTACATTTTAAAATATATTTAAAAAACAAAAACAGTTATTTTTAACTGTTACAATACATCACAATATTACTGTTTGACTGTACTTTTGATCAAATATATGCTGCCTTGGTGAGCATAAAAGATTCTTTCAAAAACATTTTAAAAATCTTATCGACTAAACTAAATGCTACTGTATCATAATAATAAATGTGGATGCAATTTAATTCATGACTTCAATTAAAAATTACTCTTTTGTGTCCCAAAGAAAAGAAAAGATATGTTTGGAATGACATGGTGAATAAATGATATAAATGATTATTACTTTATAAGTCAACTGCCTACCTGATGTCATAGACGGGGCTACGGAGGTCATGGGAGCCGTGAGCAAAGGCACAGTGAGGGCCGTTCTTACTACAGTGGCCCTTCCCATCAGTCTCGTGGATACAGGAACCAGTCTTATAGTACCGCAGATGATACCGTCTCTCTGTGTCTCCAGCTGTTCGGTGCAGAAATGGACACCTGGCAGTACATAAATACAGAAAGACATTAGCATAAATTCACACAGTGTGACTTTAAAAAGAAGTTTCTGCTGGTTCTTACTCATCTCCGTCGGGACATGTCCCTGTGCCCTCGTCGTATTTAACGCAGTACACATCAGGGCTGTAATTAAACGTTCCATCTCGTCTGCGAATCGGCCTCCGTCGTCTCTGATTCAGGAAGTGCCAGTGGAAGCAGGTGAAGGGGCGGTGCTGAGTGCACTTGTGCTGCACAAACAGGGGACACTGCTCCGTCCTGAACTCTTTCAGATACCTGAACATAGATAGAGAGATGCTACATGACAGTATGTCTGGAGGTGGATGTGGCTATTAACCATTAGCAGGTTGGAAAAGGAGATTTTTCAGAGCGGTAAAACTACAAATAAACACTATTACAAGAGTGTATATGACCTGCTTCAGGAGACATGAAAATAATCATGGAAAACATGGAAATATCAGAAATTGTCAAATCTTAAAATGTCATAGAAAAGTACAATGAAGGAATATTGGTGTAGAAAGAATTTTCACTTACATTTTTCAATTAGAAAGAGAGTAAGTAAAAGTCGAATTAAACAGGACATTGTTAAGTATTTTATTGTCAAATGTACTCCAGTAATCTTTGTTTTATTTACAATTTTGAAAAATATTTTTTTACAGTGCAATAAAAATTTCTAAGGTGAAAATATAGGTTTCTTGTTATGTTCAGCTTTACAATATTATAATAAAAAAGTGGAATGGCTATGAAATTATTTTCAAAAATGTGTACCCAATAATCATGAATGACTGGAAGGTTTTAAAATGTCATGGAAAAGTGATTTGTATTGTCCAGTCTTTTTTCCTGATAATGTGTGGTTCTACATTCAAATGGCTGCAATATAACAAAGAGTGAAAAATTTAAGGGGGTCTGAATACTTTCCGTACCCACTGTATATTTGGCTATTTGTGAATGTAAAAACTAATTACAAGAAACTGGAAAAGTCACGGAAATCATGGATTTAACATAATTCATGACTGAGAGAAACAAAAACAGTTATTTATAAGCACATATTGATCAATCACAATTCAAAGTATTTTCAATGTCAATTGTGGTTACGGCCATGACGCATTAGAAAACAGAGAATATAAAATGAATTTACAAATGTAAATTTGAATATAATATAGATGGATATAGAGTAATGCAGCGTTTATTTTCAGTCCATGGCCCTCAATAAAGTTAGATTTTTGGCCCTTTGTAGTACAAGTTTGGGCACCTTTGGTTTGTAGTGATGAATATAAATGGTGTATTCTGTATACATATGTACAGTTCTAAAATATTTAAATATATAAACTACATACGTTTTTTTATGGAATTAATTACTATAAAATAATTAATTCTTATATAGTAATGAACACTGCTTCATCAGTGAACTGAGATCAAAAGAATTGATCAAACTTTTACCATGATTTCACGATGCATAACATTTTAGACTAATTAAGCACTTTATAGCTCGCCTTCTTTATTGTGTTTACAAATCGCCAGAGCTTTTGCCAGGATGCTCAAGTGCATTCTTCAAAATATCACCTCAATGCAGTGCATGCACTCAATCGCACTACTAGGCCTCTATAAAACACAGCTCTTGATCCAGCTCATCACAGCCACAAAAACCCATCAGAGGCGTGTAAAATTGTTGATACATGAAATGTGTGATCTGCACGAGTGATCAGGTGGATGTAAAGGTGTTTCGTTACGTACGTGTAGTGCTGGGGTTTCTCGGGCTGTGCGTGAAGCACGTTAGCGGGGGACGTCGTGCCGCCTGCCGAGGGTGAGGAGCAGGAGGAGGACGATGAAGGGCCCAGGTTGGCCGCGGCACCCGAAGAACCGGCCTGAGATGGTGCTTTCGACATGATTTATCAAATTATGGCCATCAAACTATTTAATATTGGGAGAGCTGCGAAGTCCGCACTCTTTTTTGATGTGCGCATGCGCCAGATCTGGCTAAGGAGGAAATTCCGGGCCATTGTGATGACGTCGTAGTCGTGCGCGAATCGGTTCTTTCGAACAGTTCGATTCGAGAGCCGCTCGGACCAAATCAGTTCAGTGCGAGCACGAATGCTTCAGGTTTGTTCTGTGAACTGATTCATTGAAAAGAATCAATTTAAAATAACGACTCGTTCACTAAACGGACCTTGCTACGTCATAGGAGAGTGAAGTCAGAGATAATAAACAGAGGTGAATGACTTTAAATTATATGTAAATCTCTTAGAACAAACAAAAAACAAAAAAGCACTGAAAACATGTAATGCTCTGAAAGCATTGAACTTTATGTAATTTTCTTCCCTTTTTTTGCTTTTTTTTCTCTGGCAGCTAATAATGTTAATTTGATCATGTGAATATGTAATACCTCATGTTCTTGTGGCATTTAATTAATAAAGCATAAAAAAAATAAAATAAGAAATAAATAAAAGTGAAAAAAAAAACAACAATAAATAAACAGAGGTAAATCCCCAAATTAAGAGCAAGATGTGCTCCAAATTCAAAGTTGCAGATAAAGGTCTCCAAACGTGATGGTGATTTCTATTGATAAAAACTGCATAACAGTTAAGGATGTTTGTCCGTGAATTGCTTTTTATTTTTACACGATGATTTTAGAATATTCTTAAGAACATTTTATGCCTCAATGAAAGCAAGAACATCTGTCCTTTTGTATATTTGAGTTTACCTGCTCAATAACATACGTTTACAATTACATATAGTATTTGATTAGAGACTTAGTGTAGTGTAGAATAGTGTAGAATGGTAAATTTATCTCATTAATCCTATAACATTTTTCTTTATAGTACTTTTAAAAAATTGTTTAAAGCCTTGTTCATTTACAAGTTTAAATGCAAAAATACATAAAACAAAATTACAACATTTTTGGACTCCAACATCTGTCCTTTTGTATATTTGAGTTTACCTGCTCAATAACATACGTTTACAATTACATATAGTATTTGATTAGAGACTTAGTGTAGTGTAGAATAGTGTAGAATGGTAAATTTATCTCATTAATCCTATAACATTTTTCTTTATAGTACTTTTTAAAAATTGTTTAAAGCCTTGTTCATTTACAAGTTTAAATGCAAAAATACATAAAACAAAATTACAAAATTTTTGGACTCCAATATGTGCATTTAATTTAATAGTGATTTCAATTTCTTGATTGTTTAAAGTGTTTTATAATATTTGTGTATTGTATGAAAAAAATAAAAGCATAAAATCTTGTAACAAAAAGTGTTTCATGTATTTCTATCAAAACAACATTGCACGAATATGGGATATTACAATAAGGTTGTATCAGTCATATACAGTGTACTATTAATACAAACAATAAAGTATATTGTTATAATATATTAGAATATATAACAATTCATTATATATATTGTGTTCTAAAACACATGATGCACACTTCAGAAGATGTCCAATCCACTCAAGTTCTGAATTTTCACACAAACCATTCTGTATGTTTGAACCCAGCGGCTGTGGTGATAAAAAAAAAAAAAAACAGTACATAAGATATTAATTATTTCCAAAGTGATTGGCACCTGACATAATTCTTTCATCACATTAATACTGTGAATTAAGGCAGTTTCACACTCACCTATACGGTTAACTATCTCTTCACACTCACTGCTTGTGGCGGCCTGTAGGACCACACAACAGAAGCCGGACGATTTGCCTGCTTGCGATGTATCTCTGAAACCAATTACATGGTTAGTACTGAAAACACAAAGCCTGGAAGCAAATGTCACTGATAAGCAAATGGAATACAGATAAACCAGTCTCATAACCCGCCTGCCATTTATTCAAACTCCAACACCATATCAAATACTGAACGTCTGTAATTATCAGAGTTTTAACTGAGCGCGAGTTCCATATCTGAGAGAAACATTTCAAGATAGAAAGCTTAGCATAAACCAGCATGCCATGCATCTCATTTTCATGACTTGAATAGACATCTATCTACAACATGTTCCTAAAATACTTACAATATACAAAAAGCAAAAATGGTTAAATCAGGTTGGCTTCCAAGCCTCCCAACACATGATATCTCAGGGAAGTGGTGTTGAAACAGCTCCTAATCAAAAAGAGAAACCTTGGCTTTAAATTACTCACCTTTAACCTAAGTTATTTGTATTTAGTGTTGAAAAATACAAACCTGCTTATTTGACTTATCTATGCAGGTAAGATGAGTCTCCTTTACATCCAGCAGTACCTCCTATATGACAAAATCAGAAAGCATGCATGAGATATTATATAGGTCTTGAAATTAGCTTACATTCACATCTCTCTACATAAAACTCACTTGCTCAATTGTAGATATACCTTTCTTGCCTGTCTGCTCTCCAGAACCACAGGAATGACATTCTGCAGGACCTCCTTACCTCCATACTTAAAATTAAACAAAATTAACATTCATTTTCAATAATCACACGGATCACATATTGACTCAAAAATACACATGAATGGATTAAGCACACCACAAAGAGAGTTTACACAACTACTGTACCATTCCTATGTTTGCTTTTCCTAAGAGGTGCACAGCGTACAGGATCCTGTTAATGAAACATGATCAAACAGATACAGGCCAGGCTGTTTATGGTATTAGAGACTAATACAATTGCAAACATACATGAAATCTTTATTGAGAGTACCTGCCGTCTTTGACACACTGCGTCTGCCCTCTCTTCTGTCCCGCGGTTCTGTCCTGCTGAGAGGCTGGTTTTGGGCCAAACTGAAGTGAGGGTTTTTCCTGTTTGAGTTGCCGTAAGTGTTTGACCAGTGGCTGATAGATAGACCCATCTTCTCCTCTCCAACGTATCAAGTGAATGGAAAGGGGCTGACCCTTCAGCTTAGACAGAACCACACCTGCCTTTGGAGGGGAAAAGTAGTAACAAGTGGCCTGTTAGTCCGATATCGAGCTCTATGGCACCTTTGACTGTAAAGGTGCGGTGAAATTTTGCAGACAAATAAGGCCAATTGCCTAAAGTCGAATGTGTGGCGATGTATGAAGCACAGCTCACATAGAAGTCACTTTCAAACCAAGTAGTTTTCTGTTGGTCACTGCTATTAATCCATGTGACCAACTTGAACTTGTTTTGAAACCTGAATTTTGACTCATTCTGCCCTCATGAGAAGTTCCCAATCGCGTGGATTCCTACTAAAATGACTGCATTTCAAAAATTTGCCAGACAATGTTAAATGAGACCGCACATTAAAATAGGGGTGGGGTTTAAGTGGACTAAATGATTAAAGAAGTCTGGCATACATGACCAGTTGTTGTTTCACTGGAAAATCGAGTTATTATATTTTATAAAAATTTAAATTTTGCAAATTAAAGGGGTCATATGATGCGATTTCAATTTTTCCTTTCTCTTTGGAGTGTTACAAGCTCTTGGTGCATAAAGAAGATCTGTAAAGTTGCAAAGAAGTCTCAAATCCAAAGAGATATTCTTTATAAAAGTTAAGAGTCAAACACGCCTACCTAAAACGGCTCATTCTAACACACCCCCACATACCTACAAGGGGTGTAACATTTCCGTCACACGCTTGAGCTTTTCGGCCAATCACAACGCACTGGATAGTTGGTTAATCAGAGCACACCTCGCTTTTCAGACCGATTAGTTTTGTAAAAATCGACGCGTTTCAGAAAGGCGGGCATAGAGGAGAAACAATAATGTACAGTATGTGGAAAATAATGTGTTTTTTTAACCTTAAACCGCATAAACACATTTCATTACACCAAATACACAAAATAATGTTCTTTTTAGCAGCATCATATGACCCCTTTAAACATATGCATGGATGAACCGTTCACAACAAGATGAATAACATGCATTTGGAAAACAGATCTGGTGAAATTTCATTTCATGCTGATTTTAAAAACGCTGCTGCAGATGAGATTTGAATGCTACACAACTTACATTTTGGTCTGTTCGTCACATTAGCTATTGTATGTCTTCAGAAAAAACTTGGAATATAGGGCACAAATCGCATGACTAATTTTAATGGCACTTTAATAGTGCTTTTTTGTCATGTCAGGAGCTGTGCAGTTTATTTTATCATCCACTTTGTGGAAAACAGCAGCTCGAACATCGTACCTAACATCCTTTTTTTGTCTCCCAGAGGAAACAATATGTGGTTGGAACAGCATGAGGGTGAGTAAATGATGACAAAATTGTAATTTTTGGGTGAACTATTCCTGACAGGAGGCATATCTTGTGATGAATGAGTCTTAGAATACACAAACACAATGGGAACACAAAAGCTTATGATTATATAATCAATTCAGGCAAAGCAGATAGCAGAGTACACAAATATAAAGCTGTCTGTAGAAGTAATCTAAGATTCATTTATGATATGCTGGGTCATGCAGGACACATTTTATGGGAAAGATTTCTTCTGACCTGCCCATTGCTAGCATTCCTCAGTGATATCCCATTGATTTCATCAATGATGTCACCAGGCTCGACAAACATATCCACCTGAGCTTGACTACACTGAAGCAGGTCTAATACAAAGACGCGTCCATCTAGGTACCTTTACAAAGAAAGATTGTTAAAATATGGGATATGAACAGAAATACTGATTAGTAATATTTGCTATTAATTCTACAAAATCAAAAACTTGCAGTTGAGCATGACTTTATCGATACAGAGAGCAAAAAGGTGATCAGAATGTGTGCACAAATAATTTTGAAGAAAAAAATGGCCAAAATTACATGAACAAATGCAGCATTCAGAATTGAAAAGACATGCCAGCATGCTAACCTGAGCACCATCCCCAGCTCCCGACAGGGAACAGCTTCATAGATTTGACACACCTAAAACACAAGCAAGGTTTGCAACATGCAATTCAGCATGACCTCTTCATGCACATACAGGTAAATCAAGTACGTCAGAACATTAAGATCATACCGGAAGGAGCCAGCTTTCATCCAGGAAG